GGGGGGGGGTGTTCACGAGAGTCTGTGAAGCTCCCTGTTATATAATATGCATTAAGATGTCAAACAAACGTAACTTTGTCAACTTAGGAGTTCATGGGGGGGGGAATCTTATAAGAGTTAACTCTTACAAAAGAAGGCAAAAAATTTTTTGAGATTTAGGAAGACTAACTACAGGAAGTGTATTATTTGGGGGTAAAGCTCCTCTCCTTCATTCTTGATGGGGGAGGGGGAAAAGTCCCAAACACTGAGGCTGAGGCAGGCAAAGGAGTGCTGCCCCTCAGCGCTCAGGCTTGGAGCTAATATCATACAGCCCACAGCACAGCGGCCACAGAGCAACGTTAACCACAGAGCTGATCCCAGAAGTGACCTCACCGAACACACTAGAAAAGATACAATTTTGTTCTTTAAAAGTTCTACTTATGAACTTTTTTATCCCCTTCCAATAAAACCAGGGAAGATTTGTCCTTTAGTCTAGAATTTAATGACTTCTAGCCACATAACACAGCATACATCTCTGACTGCAATAAAAAAAAAAAAACAGCAACCAAAAACGTGTAGCATGTATTTGGAGAAATCTCATGTTCCCCGATATAATCCTTCACTCCTCTTAAGCCTGGTATCACTACAGTCTACGAGGCCAGTGTGCCTCTGGATTGCTCCTTTTTTTATTTTATTACGTAGTGTCCTTCTTTGTTTCTTACTATGTATTTAAAGTAATTATTGCCCGGCCGGGAGTGGCTCAGCGGTTGAGCATTGACCTAGGATCCAGGCGATCGGGGTTCGATTCCCGGTCAGGGCACATGCCTGGGTTGCGGGCTTGATCAATGACTCTCTCATCATTGATGTTTCTATTTCTCTCTCTCCCTCGCCTTTCCTCTCTCTGAAATCAATAAAGATATATTTTAAAATAAATAAATAAATTAAATAAAAAATAAAGTAATTATTGATAGGTACATATTTATTGCCATTTTATTCTTTTAACTATGATCCTCTTTCCTCTTCCTCTTCTTCTTAAAGCAGGGCCTTTAACATTTCTTGTAATACTGGTTTGGTGGTAACAAACTCCTTTACTTTTTCTTGTCTGGGAAGCTCTTTATATCTCCTTTAATTTTAAATAATAGCCTTGCTGGTTAAAGTAGTCTTGAGTTTAGGTCCTTGCTTTTCATCACTTTGAATATTTCATGCCAGTCCCTTCTGTCCTGAAATGTTTCTATTGAGAAAGTGGAGTCTTATGGAAGCTCCTTGTAGGTAACTATCTTTCTCTTGTGGCTTTTAAGATTCTCTCTTTGTCTTTAACCTTTGCCATTTTAATCATGATATGTCTTTGTGTGAGCCTCTTTGGGTCCATTTTGTCTGGGCCTCTCTGTGATTCCTGGACTTGTGTGTATTTTTCCTTCACCAGGTTAGGGAAGTTTTCAGTCATTACTTCTTCAAATAGGTTCTCAATCCCTTGCTCCCTCTCTTTTCCTTCTGGAACCCCTGTGATGCAAATGTTATTACACTTCATGTTGTCCCAAAGGTCCCTTAAACTGTCCTCATTTTTTAAAAATCTTTTTTCTTTTTGCTACTCTGATTGGGTGTTTCCTTCTACCTGGTCTTCCAAATCACTGATTCGATCCTCTGCTTCATCTAACCTACTGTTTATTCCTTCCAGTGTATTCTTCATTTCAGGTATTGTAGTCATTTCTGACCTTCCTTTTTTATGGTTTCTATATCCTTTCTCATGCTGTTGAGCATTCTTAAAACCATTACTTTGAACTCTATATCTGATAAATTACTTGCCTCCATTTCATTTAGCTCTTTTTTTGGAGATTTCTCCTGTGGGGCCTGTTTGTCTCCCAATTGGCTGCCTCTTTGTGTTTGTTTCTATGTATTAGATAGATTTGCTATGACTACCAGTCTTAGTGTGGTAGCCTTATGTAGTAGGTGTCCTGTGGGATCTAGTGGTGCAGTCTCCTTAATCACCTGAGCTGGGAGCTCTAGGAATGTCTCTCACATGGGTTATATGGGCCCTCCTATTGTAATTGAATCTTGATTACTATTGGCCCATTTGTGCATGGGATCAACCCTCAGGCTGGCTGACTATGAGGCTCAGCCCCGACCACAGCATGTGAGCTGCTGTGCAGGTACTCACCACCTGAAGTGAAATTCTCTTCAGCAGGGTTTGGTGCCTGCTGAGATCTCCCTTTGGATATGCCACTTGTAAAGCTGTCTGGATCCTGCTCTGATGTTGTCTGAAGCTGGCCCCTGGATATGTTGGCATTGTGCCTCTTGGGAGGGACTCTGGTGCAGGCCAATGTAAGACACTGCCTGTGACTGGTCCTCGGCAAGTTGTTTGGAGCTACAAGCAATACAGTTTGTGGCTGCCTCTGCTGTGCCTGGGTGTGCACAGGAAGGACCAAGCACAGGAAGGGCCTGGAGGCAGGTCAGCAAAAGTCCCAAGGCACCCCGAGATCCACCTCCACCTGCTTCTGCTTGCCAGCTGCCTGTTAGGCTCAGTAACTGAAGAAGTCTTCGGCTGTATTCCTCAGCAGGGCATAAGCTCCACAGGGTGGGATGAGAGGGAGTCCAGAAAGTGGGGTTGTTTTCCTCCAGGCTAATGCTTATGGAGGGGAGTGCTCCACCCAAGAAAGATGGAGTGTGGGAGAGGGACTCCGAAAGGGGATCCTAGAGCCACAAACCCCAGACTCTACTCACTCCGCCATCCCTCCATCAGAGCACAGGGTGAGTGAACAAAATTCTGTGCATTAGCCCTTTAAGAAGGTGCCTGTGACTCTCACAGATTTCCGTCTTTCCCCTGTAGACAGAAACCTCACTGCTTTCCACAGCCAGATATTATGTGGGTTCCTCTTCCTGGCTCTGGTGCTCTGGACTGGGGAGCCCAGTTTGGGGTGAGATCCCACACTTCACAGGGGGAACCCCCTACAGCTGAGATGTCACTTCAGGACCTTAGCTGCCACCCATGGGAATGGGACCAGCCCTTTTTGCATCTCCGCCCTTCCTACCAGTCTCAAAGTGGCTTTTTTTGTAAATCCTTGGTTATAAAACTTCTCTTCAGCTAGTCTTCAGTTGTTTATTCAGGATAATTGTTCTATATTTTAGTTGTAATTCCAGTTTGTCCTGGGAAGAGGTGAGTGTAGCTTCCACCTACTCTGCCACCATCTTAGATTTCTGTCCTCATTGCCTTTAATAAAGGTATTCCTTGCATTATTTCACCCCTTGCTGTTCTAGCAGTTGGAGACCACTCCAATAACTTCATGGCTCTGCTTCTAATACAATGTCTCTGTCTGGAATACACATGCACATGCACACATTTTATTTTTTTAATAGAGCAAGTCATCTATGAGACCCAAATTCCTCTTTCAGTTATAAGATATGTTGGGAGTTCTGGTCACTGAAGTTCCTCAAAAAATACTGCACAATACGCAGGGATTTTTCTATGACTTCTTTATCAAAGAAGTAGTAAATTCATACTAATTTATCTGAAAACACTTAAGTCTAATGCTAGAATTCTAATCTAATCAATACATTTGTGTATTGTATCACAGTGAATTTTTCAGTAAAAACTCCAAACATTTATCTTTTATATTACATTAACACATATTTAATACATATATTTTCTCCTTAACTTTCAAAGCTTAAAAGTCAAAGAACTTCCTCTCTCTAGATCCCATAAATCATAACTGCTATCATTACTCAGTACTAATTTTGTATAAAAGAATAAGCTTTTTAAAATCAAGTAATTCTCCTCTAAAACAAAAAGTCTCTGGGGCTCTGGCTGAGTCAGGCAGGGGAAAAGCAATAAATAGGGGCAGTGGGGGGGGTGAGGCACTAAGACAATATATAGCCCTTCTAACACAAAATACCTGGAGAGAGAAGGGGTGCAAGGCTGTGCCAGAGAGTCAAGAGTCTAAACAAGGTCATGGCTTACTCTCTTTCACTCTTGGGTGTCTGAAAGAAAAATTACCCAGGAAACAGGAGAGAGGTCCCAGCCTCCTGGGAAAAGCAGCTACAGTCATGATAGAGTTGGGGTGGAGACACACAGCAGTCAACCATTCAAAAGCTGAGTGCTTCCTATGAAACTCAAGATAAAAGCTTCTTTGATTTATAAACTTGCACTTATAAATACAAACTCTCAAAATAGAATTCAGCGCATTTTTCAACAAGTCTTTTCAACAGTGATACACAATAAATATTCTTCCTTTTGGAATCTATGCTATTAAATAGAAATGTACTAAAGAACCATTTTCCAAAGCAACATTATAGTTGAGAATAGGTATTCTGAGTGGAGTAGCTAATACTGCTACGGTAGGGAGCATACGTGCTAGGATCTAACAAGGATCTTACTGAGGACTGCATCATAGTAGGGACTGAAGACCATCTTGTTATAGTTGACCAGGCGAACAAATTTAATAGCAACCTCCTCCAGCTCTTTGTGGACTGGACCCAATCCCCCAGGTACTGTGGGCAATGGTTTCTGATGACCTGAGGCAAGGTAGGTTTCTAAGAAAGTCAGGATTCGGGAATCTGTGATAGAAAAGAAAGCAGTGGGTTGTTTCTTGTTCAGGGTGACTTTACAAACTTCTGATTATGCTTCAGTTTTTAGCTTAAAAATTACCTTTTAAAGGAAGTCTTTCCTGACCACCCCCTAGATCAGGTACCCATAGCACCTTGCACTTCTGAACAGTCATCACATTTGTAATGTTTCCTCTCCCCCACTAGATGGTTCGTTTAATCAAAGTAGGAACCATGTTTACTGTGTTCATCATTCTCTTCCCAGCATCCAGCACAGTGCCTAGCATGGAACCTGGCCCCTATAAAAGCTCAAACTACATGTGGAAAGCAAAAACAAATGTATAAATAAATAAAGGGAGACCAGAGTATCAACAGGTTCTGCTCTCAGAGGAGCAACCCATACTGCGACCAACATTAGCCACTGTGGAAGATCTCATAAAGAGTGGGATGAAAAATAAAGCAGGAATTACAAGTTCAAAAAAGAAAAGAGCATTGTTGGCTTGTGATATGTCTTTTCCCACTGAGCCCCTATGAAAGAAGCATGAACTTCCTTCGTTAATGCCTACAATGGAAGGCTGTGGAGTTGGGGGCATTTGTAAAGTTGTCCTACTCTGAGGAATAGTTTAAGTTGGTGCTTTATATTCCATTCCTTTCTACAATGCTTCTGTACTCTCCTGTGTGTCCTTATCAGCCAAAAAACTGTGTGTATAAGCCACATTTCTTATAGATTTCTTTACAAAAGCAATAGGGATATTTATATTGAATGGGCTTTTTCACACTACTTGCCCACACTCTGCCCTGGGGAACCCTCTCAGGTGCAAATGATGTCCACCCTTCAGAACCCAATAACACTGACAGAGGTACTGCTAATTGGATCACCCCTGTTCCAAAGTTAGTTTGTTTTTCTAAGGTTCCCAGAGCTGGAAGCTTCACCCAGAAGTGGAGGTTCTCATATCATTCCTACCTGAGGGCAGGTTTTTATCTCCATGTCTATAACCGGCTGTTACTAAACAGCCAGGATAGCAGGACAAGGAGCAGCTCTTCAGCCAGTGGTCTATCTACAAGCACGTTCCTGCATCTCTACCAAGGTCGATGATATTAATCTTGATGATCCAAGGCCCAACAATATCTTCGAGAGGCTACTGCGGGGTGACGCACAGGGGAAACTGTAACCAATGCAGGGCTGGGATAAAATGATTTTTAAAAAACACTAATCTACATACCTCTTTTTTTGTAAAATATGAAAAAAAGTTAAAAATATTCTTTTACTAAGAATAATAAAAAAAGGTCATAGCATTAGAAGCAGGACCACCACTGATCCAGCCTTCTACTCTAATCTGAAATCTAATAACCACGAATCATTCAGCTTTTGTTGGAGCAGGCTTTTGAACCTAGGCCTGTAATTTCAAAATCAGAGCCTTCAGAACAATGATGGCCCCTTGCTCTCTTGCCCAAACCTTTGCCTCCCTACTACCTGCCTCCCCAGAAACGTACCCATGATCCTGCGGATGGGGTCATCAGGACTGGCCAAAGCCTGGATCTGGCCCTTGAGCACGGTCTCCTTGTCTGTGGTAAATGAAGTGAACCCACACAAGGAAAGGCAGCTGCTCACCTCCAGGCAGACTTTCTCCCCAATGGTAATCAGGGCATCCTTCAGATGGAAGGAGCTTAAGCAAAGAGAAACAAGAAGCCAGAGAAGAAAAAACCTATAAACAAAGTGTACATCTGCCCATGCCCTGAGAAAAGTCATGATAACCAATTCACGAACTAATGTGTTCAAAGGGAATGTTTATGATTCTGTTCCTTGCCCCTAACCTCTCGGGCTGTGTACACCTGACTCAAGGACCGTCTCTGTCCCCTCTCTGCTTTCCTTCCCTCTCCCCACTCAACCCCAGAAAGGATAGTGGGAAGGGGAGAACTCAGATTACATCAGGACCAACAACCCAAAACCCAACTTATTGCTAGCATCTGTGTGGTGAAATAAGCCTGGATTTATGAATATCTTGAACATCTCTGGAATACACAAGAAACCAGAAATTCAGTAGCTATGGGACAGTAGTGGGAGGGAAACTTTTCATTCAATATGCTTTTTCCCTTTTTATTTTCAAAACATGTGACTGTATTAACTACTTTAAAAGAATAAATAAAATTGAAACCTAAAAGTTAAGAAAATTCAATTCTGTATTTCCTGGGACCCCAGGCTCTCCTAGAGTGTCTGCTGGGAGCCCTCCTGCCAGTGGATATTCTGTGAGAAGGCAATTAATTGCCATTGCTCTGGGTCTAGATTCTTTGAATGGCAGAATTAGTGGGAGCAAGTGCACAAGCCCTGGGACTTACCACTCGCACCAGCTTTGACTGTCAGTGTGACTGTGGCTGTGTAGGGCTGGAATCCTAAGGAAGCACCGAACAGGGCCCCTCTTATCAGTAACTTTGACAGAGCAGTTCTACTGGAGGGAAGCTGGGTGACAGCTCAGAGTTACACCTATACAGTGTCTCAGGCTAGGCCTCAGCTCAGCAAACACCTCCTGGTCTAAGTCAAGACTACTGAACCCCCCGTCACAACATGTGGACATGCCCCTCACTGCACCAGACAACAGCCACGCTTTGTGCTAACTCAGCAGTAAAATTCCTCCTTTTGTAAGGATGAGAATATGTTTGAGGACATTCCCCTTGAAGAATCCTCTAAACTGGACCTTATCAGACCTTGTTTACTTAAAACCATTAAAAAATATTCTACATGCTGTAAACCACATAAATCACCAAATCTGACTTCACCACAAGAGCAGTCACAGCAGCTGCCCTCAAAAGTGCAGATCAGTTGCTGGCTGATAAAATAATCCACTTTATACCCACCACAAAATGTCTATGAGAAATGTCCAAAGGACAGAAAACCTTAATCACATACATGCAACTCTGAGGAATATGGCTTCTCACATGGACTTTCCCTGGGGCTTATTGTCCAAACTGTTAGTTGGTTGTGAAAGCAATTCAGTGAGTAGCAAACAGTACTTTTTATGAAACAGAATAGAAATACCAGAGTGTATTAAGCAGAGTTAGAGTGAGTTTCACTTTGTGTCTAAGTGTGTACTAGATCACAACAGGAAATGAATTTCTTACCATGGGCCCTGGTCAGAAACATTTGAAAGCTACTATCCTAGGCCCTTGCGAAGCCTAGAGTTGATTCTAACTTTGACTGTGTGACTGTGAACAAATTCTGCTGGGGTAGGGAAAGTTGGAGAAAAAGGTTTCCTCTCGGTTCCTAGAGAGTGGCCCCAGATTCTGCCTTACACTTAGAGACCCCAGTTCAGTCTACTCTCTGCCACCCACTGTCTCCCATGCATCCATTAAAAGGTTCTCTACACAGCTCTTAGCCACTTACGGCAGATGCATATCTGTCAGCAGAATCTTCACGATCATCTTAAGTTTCTCAGCAAAGCTCGCCTGACTGGAAATTCCTGAGGCTGCCATGCTGAATGTGACCAGCAACACGGCCCCCAGGATGGTCAGTTGCTCCAGCTGGAGCTGGAGCTCTTGAAAGCGAGGTTGGTCCATCAAAACTGTCTGTAATGAAAACAACAGAAATTATCCCTGAGCTGTAGATTCGGGCTGGCCAGCAGAGGGCGGTGGGGCCACAGCCCCCACACATATCTCTGAAGTTTCCCTACCTCAGAGTTTCTAGTCATTTCAGAGCCATAAAGGAATCATGAGTGAATTACCCTTCCTTGAAAAGACTGCAGTAGAACACACGCATCAAGAACATGAGACAGACTGGGTGTGAGCCAGACTCCGTCATTTAATAGCAGCAGCATAACCTCACGCAAGGTTTTTCAACTCAGCGCTATGCAGAATGAGGATTCCTACCTCAAAGGGCTGTTTTAAAGATGAAAATAGACCATGCATATAAAGTGGCTGGCAGAGGCAACACTCAGTCAAGAGAAGTTATATCATTAGATAAGAAAGGGTAATGAGGTACAGAGTGAGGGTGACCAACTCATCCCAGTTTGTCTGGACTGTCCCAGTTTTAAAACTGAAATTCCCAAGTTCTGTGAACCACCACCACCATTGTAAGAGTGAAATGCTCCATCTCGCTGGCTCCATGTGTGCAAGGCTGCTCCATTCCCAAGGCCTTCAAGCTAATGACTCTTGCTTTGCGCAGCATACAAACATGCTAATCATTAAAGGAATTCGGCTCGTGGCTGGAGTTTTACAAAATCAGGCTCTCCCACCTTCCGTACCCTTAATGTAAAAGAAGGCTAAACTCTGTACTCTCTGAAAGTGGATTTGAGGATTAGGTCTCCCATCTTCTTAGTTGGTGCCTTGTTGATCAATAAACTTTCACTTACTCTAGACTCTGACATTTTGAGTTTTAGCTTTTCCAAGCATCGGGCACACAGACTTTGGACCGGAAACACCACCCTCCCCCCAACACCTACCAACACCCACACCCACACACAACAGTCCTGGGCAAACCAGACAGCTAGTCACCCTCTCTGGCACCAGAGTGAAGGAGGGGAGAAAGTCCTTGAGGGCAGAGCCTACGCTTATTCATCCTTCGTACCTAGCAGAAAGGAGGCTCTCAAGATTTGGTAAGTGAATAAAGAAAAATAAAGAGTAAATAGAAAAATTGGGAATGACAGATAATAACCCAAAGCCTCCTGGAAAGCAGTCAGTGGTGAATTTCCATGACTGTGCCCTTGTGTTAAGGATACCCTGGGTCCTACCAGGGCAAAGTCCCCTGTGTGGAGTGAGGGAAAGAGCAGTAGAAAGACCAAAGGGATATGACTTCTGATCTTAGTTTTTACAGGTTAAGCAAATAAACTTTAACGGCCGGTCTTGCTATAAGAAACTGACACACCAAATCAAGACAGTAACAATTTGGGGTCTTAGCCCAGAATTCATCTTAACAAGTAAAAACTGTCCTTGAAGACTGAGACTACTGTAAAACACAGATGCTTCAATGGACTTCTCATCCGCCTCTTTTTTTACTTCATTTTGCTAGACAGACAGCAGTGTCCTTGCTTTGATGCCTCCCAGTAGTATGCATTATGTGAGTTTAGGATGCAGAAGATTCCCAAAGATCAATTCTGAGAGTAGACATCTGTCCCCAATGAAAATACCATCCTCCTCAAAGCTCCCTTTTTTTTTTTTAAAATATGNGTAGACATCTGTCCCCAATGAAAATACCATCCTCCTCAAAGCTCCCTTTTTTTTTTTTTAAATATGTTTATTGACTTCAGAGAGAGGAAGGGAGAGGGAGAGAGATAGGAACATCAATGATGAGAGAGTAATTGACCGGCTGCCTTCCGCACACCCCCCACCGGGGACCGAGCCCACAACCTGGGCATGTGCCCTGACCGGGAATCGAACCTCAATCTCCTAGATCACAGGTTGACACTTAATTGCTGAGCCATGTCAGCTGGGCTCACAGTTCTTTTTTAAGGCTGACAACTGCCCTCCAGGAGAGAACAAGCCACTATTCAGAAGGAACTACTCCCTGCTCCATGCCCCTAATTCAGTACCCTCTTTAGAACCTTCTCTGGAACAAAATACAGAACTCAGAGGTGAGAGGTGGAACCTTAGGCTTCCAATATCCTGAAAACAACAATAAGGAACTTAGAGATAAAGATATTTAGAGAAGTAGCAGCATCTGAGGCTAGAGATCAGAAGCCAGAGTGCCCTCAAAAAAGAGGGGGGAGTCTACACACCAAACCAGCTATTACATGCAGACAAAATGGGGAAATTCTGTGTTAGTCATCTTCTCAAAGGACTACAGCAGTTAGAAGTGCTTACTGTGAAAAACATAAAAAGAAAAGATACTGCTGTGCACGGAAGGGGAAGAAGTTTCTTTAGATAAAACTGAAAGGCAACATCACCGCTACTGTTTAATCAAGATGAGTAACAACAGGATAGCAGTTCAGCAGCACAAGCTGGAAGCTGCATACATTGCTGATAGGATTGTAAGGTGCGCAGCTACTTTGGAAAACAGTTTGGCAGTTCCTCAAAATGTTAAAGTTAAGAGTTACCAAATGACCCAGCAACTAATCCAAGGTACATGCCCAAGAGAACTAAAAACATATGTTCACACAAAAACTTGTACACAAATGTTCACAGCTGCACAATCCACAATAGCCAAAAAGTGGAGACAACCCAAATGCCCATCAACTGATGAGTGAATAAGAAAAATGTGGTGCAGCGATAAAGCCTTAAAAGAAATGCTGACATGTGCTACAACGCGATGGATTCCGGAGACACTATGCTAAACAAAATAAGCTAGACACAGAAGGACAAATACTGTGTAATTTCACTCACATGCGGCATCTAAAGTAGTTAAAATCAGAGATGCGAAGTAGAATGGTGGTTGCCAAGGGCAGGGGAGCAATGAATGAGTTTCAATGGGTGAAGATGGAAAAGTTCCAGAAATGGATGGCGGTGGTGGTGGCTGCCCAACAATATGCATGTACTTAATGCCACTAAGCTGTACACTTAAACATGAAAAACTTTGTAATGTCTGTTTTGCCACAATAAGAAAAACACAACTAAAAAAAAAAAGAATGACGTGCTGACTCATGCTACGACATGGACAAACATTAGCCTTAGTGAAAGAAGCCAGATACAAAGGCCGATACTATATGACTCCCTTTATAAGAAATGTCCAGAACAGGTAAATCCACAGAGACAAAAAGTGAAAATATTCTGAAATGAAATAGTGCTATGGTCACGTTATTCTCTGAATATACAAAAAGCCACTGACTTGTACAATCTAAAGGGGAAATTTTGTGGTATATGAATTATAGTATAACAAAACTATTATTTTTAAAAAGTTCAGCAGCACAAAAAGAAATGAGCAGTTAGCCTGCTCTGGAGCACTTACCTCAGGGAAAGGTCTGTGGAGGTGGTCCCATTTCAGAAGCTTCAGGTAAGCACAATTCTGGACAGCAACAGGATTTGGCATGGTTGGGATGGGACTGTCCCCAGAGTCAGGGGCCCCTCCCCCCACTGGCAGGGCGTTTTTATACTTCTGATTCATAAGGTCATCTGCGGCTTCTCCCAACCACTGGGTGACGAAGTCCAGGGAATCTGTGAACAAGGCTGTGGACATTACTATGACCATCAGGAGGGATGCTTCCAGGAATGACTTTAGGGAAGATCATCCTGGAGGTGTAGTATAGTACAGAATATGGACTTTGGAATCAAACACAACTTAGTTTAAATCACAGTATCACTAATTACTGGCTGAGTGATCTAAGGCAAGTCATAATCTGTCTGAACATCAAATTCCTAAGATAAAGAAATGAATATCACGTCATAATCTGCTGTGAGAATGAAACAAGATCGTGACCTACAAACCACCACCTAGCCAGGCCTTGACATCTACAGATGTTCAACAAACCTTCCCTCTCTTCTCTCCCTCCCAGGCTTTTCCTTGTCTAGATCTTAGTCTCAAATCAATCTGGTTTACTATCAGCCTTGAGTGAGGAGAGCTCCGTCACATGTTTGATGTGTATTATATAGCATTTGGAGCACTGTCAGGGACACCTCAGCTGTCTTTTTAAAAATTTTTTAAATTTATTGATTTGAGAGAGAGAGAAAGGAAGGGGGGAAGAAGGGGAAAGAGAGAGAGAGAGAAAGAAACATCGATTTGTTGTTCCACTTATTTATGCATTCACTAGTTAATCTGTGTATGTGCCCTGACTGGTGATTGAACTCACAACCTTGGTGTATTGGGAAGACGCTCTAACCAACTGAGCTACCCGGCCAGGGCCCTCAGTGGTCTTTCATTCACCATCACATCTCCATACTTTTCTAAGCTGAGTAATGCACCAGGGGCTCTGAGGGAGGACACAAGAGAAAGAAAATGAGGTTTCTGTCCACATTATCTGAGCAAAAAATTCCTCCACCAGGTCCTAGAACGTGTTGTAACTCTGCCAGTGGAGTCCACCTAAAAACCAGTGGGCAGCCAAGGCCATGGCTGGAGTTCACTCCTCGTTGCTGCAAGAGGACACACCTCTGCTTCTGTCACCACAGTGACCACATGAAGTTCTTGGTTCTGAGCTCCGCTCTCGCTTTATCCTTCTGCCAAGAGCATTCTCATAGTCCTGCAGCTTTGGGAAACCTTGGCTTTTCCACTGTGAATAATAAGTACTGGACTGACCAGCTCAGGGAGCAGTACCACCGCCCTGCAGCATTGTGTCCCTCGCTGGGCCCTGGCTCACGTTTAGGCTCTAGGGCCTGTCAAACTGCAGCCCTGGATGTCTCCTGAGGGGCAGTGCAACACTGGTTGAGAAAGTGAACTGTGTGGTCAATCAGTTCTGGTCAAAAATCTCTTAAATCTATGTCCACATCTGTAAAATGAGGTTACAATACAGGGCCTACCCCACAGGCTCAGTGGGTGAGGGTAACGTATGACAGTGCACATGCGCCCTGGCACAGGCCTGGCACATAAGGAGCACTCGACAATCTTCCTCTGGTGCTGACACTTCTCTGCTCTTTCCTTCTCCTCCTGTCACAGCACCATCTCGAACTTCTCTCCCTGGGGCTGAATGAACTATTGTCGTCAGGCAAATTCACAGTCTATGCCAAGATTATCACTTTCACTCTGTGACCAGTAAAGTTATGATGGGAATAGTCATACACTGGATGTGAAGACTGCAATTTACCCAGAAAACAGCTGCCAATGCAGAGACCCCACAAGCACCCTAGGAATGCAACACAGTTTTGGATTCTATAGTCATATGTTTTCCTGCAGCCGTCTGGGAGGCTCATAAAAATAGGACTTTTTGGGGTCTGAAAGCAGATTTATGAATATGAAGCAGAAGCAAAGAGAAATTTTTTGATGTACTTCACAGAGAGGAGGGAAGTAAATTCAACGATCACAAGAAGTTCGTCATGTTTTAAAATCAAGGCCAACTATGAAATTTATCTCAAACTGGTGTCATCATTAAAGACCTATTTAAGACTTTTTCATTCTTTCAAATTTCTATTCTTATATCCCACTTATATTTCTCTTGCTTGTCAATTAAATTTTCTTTTCAAGTTCTAATGTCTTGTGCTTTTCTTTCTTCAAATAAGACTATTATCATACTAAATTTTAGTTTTGTTTTGAAAATATTGTCATGCAACAAGCTACCACAACTAAAATGAAAAAACACAGATGACAGAAGAAAACCCCGAAACATTAAACATACTTGGCTGCTTCTCCAGGAGCTCCTGAAACTTCTTCCTTTCATATTCAACCGACTGCTGCATGAGATGTGGCCTAATGCTACTGACAGCAAAGTTTGCCATGTCCACTTTCATTAGGTCCAACACAGAAAAAATTGCCCTAAAAGAAAAAGATAAAAGGATTTAGGACTGGACACTTGTAAAGTAACATTGTTTTAACAAAAAGAGGTGATCTGAGAGTCTTATCATCTCCAAAAGGGTGGCAAGATAAGTTAGAAAAATCATGAGAAAGTAGATTAAGAAAAACAAATTTAGAAAACACAAAAGCTTAAATAATAGTTTGAAAAGACTATGAATTTTTAAGCTGCCTTCTGCCCCCGCCCCTTGCCCCCAGGCAAACAAAGCTTCTCCAACTGCCTGTCTAGACCAAATGCACTGCTTGGCTCTGGGTCAGCCTTGTTGGCAGCCACAGAGGAAGGAAGGAGTCCAAGACTTGAGGTAAAGGCGCACAGAACTCACCTCCTGGTAGCTATTCTCACATAGGTTAATTCACTTTCCTAGGAAAGAAAGATAATTAACTCTCCTTTCTCCTCTCCTCCTACCTCAGTCTCTCTCAGTTTTAGGACATGCTTTACATTCTAGTTCTGGTGGCATAACTGCTGTTTCATTTTCTGAATGTGCCTGATGAGCAGATGTGACATAGTCAACCCATCTAAGAACCTATCTTTAGGAAAGAACCTAAAATACAGATGAAAGTTTTGTGCACAAAGATATTCATTGCAGAGTTAAATAGTAAATAATTATAAAAATTGAATTGTCCATTTTAACCAAAAGATTTTTTAATTATATGCAAATGAACATTTTGCAGCCATTGAAAATGCTTACAGGAAGTTTTTAAAAATAATGTAAGTTTGTTATAAAAGGGCAATGCAAGAAATTCTTGTGGTGTTGAAACTGTTCAGTATCTTGAATGTGGTAGCATATACACAAACTTACATAGGTTATAAAATCATATAAAAATTAATACACAGCCCAGCCAGGAGTGGCTCAGCAGTTGAGCATCGACCTAGGATCCAGGAGATCGCGGTTTGATTCCCAGTCAGGGCACATGTCTGGGTTATAGGCTTGATCCCCAGTTTGGGGCGTGCAGGATCAATGGCTCTCTCATCACTGATGTTTCTTTTCTTTTTTTCTTTTTTTTTAATATATCTTTATTGATTTCAGAGAGAGGAAAGGAGAGGGAGAGAGAGAGATAGAAACATCAATGATGAGAGAGTCATTGATTGAGCCCACAACCCGGGCACGTGCCCTGACCGGGAATCGAACCCCGATCGCCTGGATCCTAGGTGGATGCTCAACCGCTGAGCCACACCCGGCCGGGCTCATCACTGATGTTTCTCTCCCTTTCTCTCCCTCTCCCTTCCTCTCTCTGAAATCAATAAAGATATATTTTTAAAAATAAATTAATTTAAAAACAAATAAATAAATAAAAATGAATACACACACACACATATATACACACAAGTAAAACAGGAAAGCTAAGTGAGATCAGTAGATTGTATCAATGTCAATATTCTGGTTGTGATACACTATATTTTGCAAAATGTTTCCATTGAGGGAAACTGGGTAAAGAGCACTATATTATTTCTTACACCTCCATGCAAATATACAATTATCTCAATGACACTTTCAATTAAAAAATAAGTGGCCCGGCCAGCGTGGCTTAGCAGTTAAGCATCAAACTGTGATCCGGGAGATCTCAGTTCGATTCCCGGTCAGGGCACATGCCTGGGTTGCAGGCTCAATCCTCAGCAGGGGGGGCGTGCAGGAGGCAGCTGATCAATGACTCTCTCTCATCATTAATGTTTCTATCTCTCTCCCCTCCCTTCCTCTCTCTGAAATCAATAAAATATCAAATAAAAAAAAAAGTGAAATGATTAGTATAATGTTAACAGAAAAAGTCAGGCCAGCAATGCCCACCACGAAGTCTCCTTAGTTTCAATTTAACATTCAAACTTACAAGACTGCCATAAGCCACAGGCTTGGCATCATTTGTTCACACAGCTTGCCAACAGGGCAGCATCAAGCATTCCTCTTCAACAGGCACACAACTCAGACATGTGGGAGCCACTGGCTTCAAAACCTTGGGTGCTAATATATTTTGTAACAACTCTACAGCATGGATTCTAGGGTCTCCAACAGGGGCACATCCAATTATAAAAGTTATCCCACTAAAGGAAGTCCAGTGTATGGTGTCCCATGCAGTATTTATAGTTCATTATCATTCCTTTCAGTCCAGGTGTAATTTACCAATCAGAGGTCACTTTCCCCATAAGTAATGTTGCCTAGTACCATTCTGATGCATAACACCTTTATCTGTTCACAGAAACACATGGCTAAGCAGTTAACCAAAAGGTAGCATCAAGTCAATTCTTTGCCCATATTAGCATAAAAATTATACAAATTTAATCATAATTATATATATTTAAATATGAACATGCAAAGGCCAAAGAAAGTTAATATAAAATATGTTAGTTAATAGGATTACATTAAAGTTAAATTTATTAAATATCTTGTTTGTATTTTGATTATGTAAGAGAACATCTACATACTTAGGAGATGTTGAAATATTTAAGGGTGAAACGTCACAACATCTGCCATTAACCCTCACAAGGGTCAGGAGAAAAAAATACACATACATGCATACATACTCATATAAATAAAAAGAAAGCAAACTGGGAGCCCTGGCTGGGTGGCTCAATTGGCTGGAGCATCATCCTGTACACCAAAAAGGTTGCAGGTTCGATACTTGGCCAGGGCACATGCCTAGGTTGCAGGTTCGATTCTCAGTCGGGGCAGTACAGGAGGCAACCGATTGATATCTCTCTCACATCGATGTTTCTCTCTCTCTGTCCCCCCCTTCCCCTCTCTCTAAAATCAATAAAAACATGTCCTCAGGTGAGAATTAAAGAAATAAAATAAATAAATAAAATACAAAGAAAGCAAAATGACAAAATGTTAAAAACTGGGGGATCTACATAAAGGATGTATGAGTGTTAATTATACTATTTTTGTGACTTTTCTGTAGGTTTGGATTTTTAAAAAAACATTAAGGTTAAAAACTAAAACTATATATATTAACATAATAATAGTGATTGTGCCTTTTTGGTAGTAAAATTATAGGTGAATTTTTTCCTTCTTTCTACCTTTCTATATTTTATAAAATGTTTGTTTTTAAATTTTGTTTTTAAATGCATGAATGTCTATACTCGAGGAAGTCTAAATTTAAAAACAGGCTCTGTGTTTTAGGTACACTTGAGGTGATTAACACAATTCCCATACCTGAAAAGGGTCACTATTTCCTTAATGTCCTTTAGTTTCTTAACTTCCTCATCTCGAGCAGGTGCACACAGTGTCCCCATCATGCCAATAATGAATTCTGCCAGCTTGGAAATGTCGAGGGCCCCATTCTCTGCCTCCTGCTTTATCAGCTCCAGATCCAAGACTTCTGTAATCTGGTTTCTCAGTCTAGTGTGACCAGGCAGCAAGAAAGATAAGAGAGTCTGCAAAAGAGCATAGCCAAGTTTAATGAGTTTCTTAGTCAGACATCATTTTTTATTATATATAAAGGAACTAATATGTACCAGAATGAGAACCTATCGTTACTATAATGTTGCATATATTTTAACCCCTTATTCAATAAATCTACAGAAAAGCATGTTTACAAATCATTTAGACTAGCTACTTAAGTTTCCATTTAAGCTCTAGGTAGCACTCAACTGGATACAACATGAATAAAAGTGAGAAAAATAAAACACATTCATTAACAAGAGCCTGTGGACCAACCACAGATGCTGATTTCCATGGATACATCTCTTCTTTGATACTACTGCTAAAGGTATTGCAAAAACAGTCCTACCTTTCACTTAATGCCTTCTCTATTCCACAGGTTGAATCACTTTTGGCCACTATAAACTGACCATGTCTATACCTGGTCTATACCATGTCTATACCTTTATAAATCACCTATATGTAATAAAATAAATTTTCTTTACATAATTCTGTTTTTCAAAATATTAACTTTTTCTTCAGCTACAAAACATTAACTTTTCAAAATATTAACTTTTTCTTCATCTTCAGGTAATTATAGCTTATTTGAAATTTTAAAAGGGGCATTAAGCCAAAAATACTCCTAATCCACATTTCAGCAAGTAATTTAACTTTAGTCTTCCAGCACAGTAACACAGAGAAGTTGAATATCCCTAACACACCAGGAAAGCAGCACAGTTTGCTCTTCATCCTACCTCTTTGATCTCCCCGACAAGTTTAATGGCATGGTCATATGTTGGGGGGTCTTCGCTTAGCTGGACACTCAAGCAATCCCAAAAAGCTTTATGCACAATCTCCTTTACTCTCTTTTCCAAACTAGAAGCAAATGAGGAGGGAGGAAAAAAAGGCAAAAACAAATAAAATATTTGAGCCTCAAGACATTTTTATTAAAACAGCTTTTTTTGAACTATAACTTACATACTGTAAAATTCACCTGTTTTAAGCATACCATTCAAAGATTTTCAGTAAATTCATCAAGTTGTGCAACCATTACCACAATCCAACTTCAAAACATTTCCATCACTTCAGTAAGACCCCTCTTGCCTGAGTCTTGTGCCAGGTTCCAAAGATGTCATTCCCTGAGTACAAGCCATTGAGCTTGGACACCTTGACCCCTACCCTTGACCCAGCTGAATATGACATACCTCCAGAAACCTGAAAGGTGCAAGCTGAGAGGATGGCCAAAAGATCCCAGCTGAAAAGGGAGTACCTGCTTCAGTACAACAACTCCAGCAGCCGAGGGCCCATCAGAGATCCTGCTTTGACTCATTAGACCTAAGCAAGATCAGCAAATATCTACCTCAATTTCAGACCCACTCCCAAGACCTCACTCTTAGGAGTTGTGATTGGAATTGGGTCCTACTTCTTCTGATACTATGTTTTTAAAATTGATATACAAAAGAAAAATGTATCCAGGAACAAAAATTGGATCAAACATTTAACATCTCACATTAAGTCTAGCATGATGACCATATGTATTATTGTTTAAATAAATCTTCTATTAATCATTAAAAAAAAAGATCCCTTGTTCCACTGCCCAGTTCCACCCCCAGCCCCAGGCAATCACTAATCTACTTCCTGTCTCTACAGATTTTCCTTTTCTAGATGTTCCATGTAAATGGAATTGTACAGTATGTGGACTAGTGTTTGGATTCTTTTACTAGGCAACATGCTTTCAAGCATCATCATCCATGTAACATGTATCAGTGACATGATCCTTTTTATGACTGAAAAATATTCCATTACATGGATATGCCAAATTTTATTTATCTATTTATGTATTGACAGACATTTAGGTTATTTCTACTTTTTGGCTATTATCGAATCACTTTCAAAAACACAAATTCTATGCGTTTAGGGTGAGAAATTTTTTAAAAATTTGAATAAAGGGAAGATTTACCAGACAGGCTTAAACTAATCACATACCTTCTTATTTTTAATTAGTGATTTATTTCAATAAGTACCTCATTGGAAAGAATAACTTTCAACTATTTTGACAGATGGCATTAGTCCAATTAACAACATGTAACAGTGCCATATGATAAAAAGAATACTGGAAAGTTTAGAGCTGTTAATTTTTAGTTTTCTGATACCATCACATTTCCTAAGGTATTTATGATTAAGTGGTTTAAGATAACAGTTCAGCATGTATATAGGTTGAAGCACTTTTTATTTCCTAAAAAATATCTTATTCCCATGTGATATATGACACAACTGCTTAGATGAGGTACCAAACTATATCATCTTATATTTAACATCTCATTAAAACTAGTAATTATATCACGAGAGCAAAACAAGTAATTCTTCATTATTAATGTCAAAAAGTACTATCTTTGCAGAACACATAAAAATGTCGTGAAAGTCTTATTTAGAAGCCTATTGTAGGAGATATTAGAACTTGCCAACCCAGCAGACATTCCTTCTCCTTTCTTTTTTTTGTTAACCCTCACCCGAGGAAATTTTTTCCATTGATTTTTAGAGAGAGTGGGGAAAGGGAGAGAGAGAAACATCAATGTAACAGAGACACATCAATTGGGGCCAGGGATCTAACCTGCAACCCAGGTATGTGCCCTTTACCGGGAATCAAACCCAAGACCCTTCAGTGCATGGGACGACGCTCTAACCATGGGTACACCAGCCAGGGCCCCTCCTTTATTTTTCCATTGCACTTTCACAACTATAATGGGCAACAATATTTCTTTCTTGTGACAATACATTTTTAAATGCACATTTTACAATTTATAGAGTATTAGATTCAATATGATATTTGCCAGGTGCTAGGGATACAGAGAATAATGCACAATCCTTGTCTATGTAGAGTTTACAACCTGGTAAGGAACACAAGTAAATCAACTACTGCAGTACAGCGTAAAAGTTACAAAAACATGAATGAAACAATGCAATGAAAACACAATATGAGGCAGCTAAATCCTATAGCGAAGGGAGAAGCTAACATGAAAGATTCCCACAGGAGATTTCCAGACCTTTTGTTTACATTTTGAAGGATCAGTAGTCCTTCCATCTGCTTTCAAACTCTAGTAATTCTTGGTATAGAAATATTTTTAGCAACATACAAAAGGAGAGGTGTATTTGAATAGTGACAAGTGAAGAAAACATTTCCAGAACTGGGAAATGACAGTACAGTGGTACCTGGGTTTCAAATGTAACCCGTTCAGGAGACCGTTTGAGTTCTGAAACGTTCGAGAACCGAGGGATGCACAGCCAATAGCTAGGCCTCAGGATCTTGCCCTCAGCAGAAGCCGTGTGGCATGTTTGGCTTCCGAGGCGTGCTGGGAAACCGAAGTGTTTATGTCAGGGTTTACGGTGTTCGTAAACAGAAATGTTCGTCAACGGAGACATTCAAAAACCGAGGTGCCACTGTATTCTACTAAACAAGTAACTCAGTAACCGCCTTACCTGTCTTCTGGTAGTTCAACAGGTTTAATCTGGAAGTCTCCATTTACTACAATTTCATGGGCTAGAGCCATGTTAGTGACTCCTTTTGCTGTCTCTAGAAGCTCTTCTACTGTCACAAAACGAGGAGGACTAGCTGTAACAAAAAAACCCAGTGTAAGAGATTTGCTTCTCTAGACTAGAATTTCTATTAAAGTAAGGAGAAGGAAGTGGTTCTGGTACCAGCTAATAATTTTGGTTATGCCTCTAATTATGAAAATATTGTGGGAATTTCAAACAATAAATGTATATTATTTTTTTCTTTTAACCTACAGTCCCAAAAGCAGAAATCATTTACAATACTCAAAACACGGTGTGTTTTTTAACTAAGGCTAGTCAATGAACAATTATTACAATGAATGAACTGAGACTTAGAAAAACTTTCATAGACTTTATTTACCGATATGTTGAGAGTTTATTTCCTAATTCCTTTGCCTACCCATTCTAAATGACAAAAAGGAGTTGCCAGATTTAAGATTTCCTGTCTCGTTCTGATGAGCAGTTTACATTTTGCTCCACCACTAAGGCTGTGCCATCACTCAATCTCCCCAAATTAAAATAGCAGCAAGTACTTTAGGTGCCAGGCGCTGTTTAAACAATGCTAAAACCACTACCCTTTACAGATACCAAGTGAGAATGTGAGTTCTAAAGCTGACCAATGAAGAAATTAAGAGGGTGTGTAACTCAAGAACTTTGTAGAATGCAGGCTCACTGTATCAAAACCTTGATTCCTCTCTGATTTCTTCCTTTCCACTGCCCTGATACCCAAGTCCTGTAGATTTCACATCTGTATCAACTGCGGCAATAGCCCCATAACTGGTCTCCATAACTCTCTCTCCTTTGATAAAACTTGAGATTTATCTTCCAAAAAGAAAATTCTCATACAAATCTCCCCAGGCGTTCTGAGCCAAGGAACACTGGGTAATTCCTGTTTTTTTAAAAGTCTATGATAAATACATACATTTGTTTGTGTATCAATAAAGCTGTTTTTAAAATAAAGTCCATGAAAGCAGTTCTTTAGCCTGTAACAGAATTGGTGGCTGAGGGGTGCTGTAAAAACAGATTGCTGGGCTCTCCTCTCAGGGTTTCTGATTTAGCAGGTCTGGGGTGGGGCCAGAGAATCTGCATTTCTAACAAGTCTCCAGATGATACTGATGGTCACAGAAATTGTACTTTGAAAAGCACTGGCCTAGAAGATGACAATACTAATTTTATGTCATATGACAGGATCTGGGCTTAAAATGAGATAATGTCACTGGTTTGCACAGGGTTTAATAGTTACAAAGATCTTAAGTTAGTGAAAAATAATTTTCCTTCCTCTTTTACTTTTTCCTTTGGCTCATCAGAAAAAAGGGAACTAGCCCCAGCCAGTCTGGCTCAGTGGTTAGAGCGTCGGTCCACGGACTGAAGGGTCCCGAGTTCTATTCCAGCCAAGGGCATTTACCTCAGCTGCAGTCTCGCTCCCAGCCCCGGTTGGGGCGCATCTGGGAGCCAACCAATCGATGTGTCTTTCTCACATCGATGTTTCTCTCGCTCTCTCTGTCCCTTCCACTCTCTCTGAAAAGCAATGGAAAAAATATCCTCGGGTGAGGAATAAAAAATAAAAGGGAACTAAATCTAAGAGCTGGTCACACCCTGTCTGACCAAAAATTTTTATTTGGTCACATAATGGGAAGTTGGGAAAATGCAACAAAATTCCAGGAAATATTAATGACAATAATAAAAAGTTGCTTCATGAATATTGAAAAAAACACAATAAATTTCCAAAATCAAAGCCCAGATAGAAATTCTCAATATTATTATTATTATTTTTTAAATACATCTTTATTGATTTTAAAGAGAGGAAAGGAGAGGGAGAGGGAGAGAGAGAAACATCAGTGATGAGAGTCATTGATCAAACCCACAACCCGGGCATGTGCCCTGACCAGGAATCAAACCCCGATTGCCTAGATCCTAGGTCGACACTCAACCGCTGAGCCATGCCTGGCCGGGCCTCAATATTATTAAGATGTCAATTTCTGCCAAATTGATCTATTGATAAAATGCAACCCCAAAGTTCCAACAAGATTTTTTAATTGCCAAAATGATTCTAAAATTTCTATAAAAATGCACCAGACCTACAAAAGTCAAAATCATTTTGGAAAAAAAAAAGAAGAAAGTTGGAGGACTCACACTAACCAATTTCAATACCACTGTAAAGCTACAATAAACAAGACAGTGTGTTCTTGGTATGAGGATAGACATATATAACAACTGAAAGAGCAGAAGATCCAGAAACAGACTGATAAACACACACACGTTAAGTATACATGTGGTTAAGGCAAAATTTGTTTTTTTTAAATCAAATGGAGCTAGAACAATTAGGGAGCAATGTGTAAAAAAATGACTCTCGCCCTGGCCCATGTGGTTCAATTGGTTGGAGCAGCATCCTGTGCACCAAACAGCTGCAGGTTTGATTCCCAGCCAGGGCACAGGTTGTGGGTTCGATCCCTGGTCACCAGTATGGAAGGCAACCAATGTTTCTCTCTCACATTGTTTCTGTCTCTCTTTCCCTTCCTCTCTCTACAATTTTTAAAAACATATCTTCGGGTGAGAATTAAAAACAAAAATTACCAAAGGAAAGGGCAAAATTATAGCGACAGAAAGCAGATCAGTGGTTGCCATGGAATAGGGGAAGAGGGAGAAAGATTCACGCAAAGGGGCAGAGAAAATTTTGGGAAGTGATGGAAATGTTCTAGCAGCTCATGATTGTGGTTGTAGTGACATAACTGTAAATGTATTGATCAAAACTCATCAATCTGCACACTTAAAATTGGTGAATTTTATTATATAGTATGAATTATACCACAATAAAGTTGATTAAAAATTTGAAGGCACTCAGTAGAGATTTATTAGATATACAATAATTATTAAATTTCTTCAAGTCAGTGTTTTCTGTTACCACTTATCAAAAAATGGAACTCCCACTGTGGTATATCAATACCAAGCATCAGGAGTTATTAAACTATGAGTTCTTAATCCAAGTTTTGTTTTAACCTTGGTTTTGCAAAAATCTCCAAATGTAAGATCGTCTTAAATTTATGAAAATAACAGAAATACAACAAGTTCTCTTAGTAATAAAACAGGGCCCACCAATGCTTCCTATAATAACACAATGTTAACTTTCATCTTGGCCGCTGACATGCCATCCAGACTGAGGAAGACCTGGAAACTTTGGAGCCACATGAGCTAGGGCCACAGCTGCATCAGCAAGAACGGGAAGCCCCTGGGAGGCTGAGGGAATGCTGATGACGTGCATTATCACAGGATTAACTTCAACAAATATCACCTGGTTACTTTGGTGGCACTAAAGAGGAACTAGGGCTTCTGCCCAACTGAGAACCTTGATAAACTGTGGACCTTGGTCAGTGAACAGACACAGGTAAATGCTGCCAAAAACAAGGCTGGAGCTGCTCCTATCACTCGTGGTGCAACTGGGCTACTACAAAATTCTGGGGAAGGGAAAGCTCCCAAAGCAGCTTGTCATCATGAAGGCCAAGTTCTTCAGCAGAAGAGCTGAG